TGAGATTGGTAGCTATATAAATTTGAGTCATAATAATTCCAGTCCAGACATTTGGAATATATTTTAGTATGTAAACAGAGAGACTAATAAAATAAAAAACACTTCTAGTTCAGTAGCATAATATAATTCTTCCAAGAGAAGAAGCTGCATTGGTTTAGTTATGAAACTCTGTTCAAAAATGTTTATCTGAGCCAGTTTTGAGTTTCAGATGAAAAGTATGCTTTCAGTAAATAATATTTTTTTATGGTGCATGCTTTATTTTGGAAATAAATAAACTTTGGAATGTTTTTGCAAATATCAAAGGGGGTGGGGGTGAATTGTATTAAACTATCTGTGTGCCGAGGATTTAAAGTTCTAATCCCTGGCAGTCTACTCTAGTTGAAAATGCAGAAGGCTCTTTCCTAACGGGAGGGTAGATAGTGCTCTTCATACAATGCATAATTAATTTAGCGCTACAGTATTTATTTGTTCTGAACCTGCTGCCAGTCACTTTAATTGGATGACCCTGAGACACAGGCTTATGAGAGAGGGTAGGAAAAAGAGAACCTAATGTGGGTAAAGAAATGAGGAACTGTTCCGTACTTGCAAATATAGCTGCACAATAGATTTAAGGCACCGTAATATTTGCAGTTAAAGTTCCAGTCCCTGTGCTTATAATCCTCCACAGCATGGAATTTGCATTTAAAAATATTGCTGCATTATATTGTCAGTTTCAGTTAATATGCTCACATGATAATGTGACCGTAGCCTGGTTGGATGAAATTGTATTTATGTGAACTTGAAATACCTTCTCAAGATGTGTTCATGTTATAGGTACAGTACTTTGATTCTCATTTGCCATTGTGGTTGGAGAGCTTAGTGTTTTGTTAGGGAGAATAAAATCATGTAAAATCCACAAGCCACCTAGGAGCTACACACCCCTCCTCCCAATTCTAGAGATCTTTTTGCAGTTGGCTGCTTCTCTGTGTTAAACTTCAACTATTGATTTGGCTTCCTTGAAATAATTTCTGAGAAAGGAAGAACAATTCTATGTATATCCTTGCCTAATTTTTCTCTGTAGCTCAACCGAAACCTTCAAGAGCATAGACCACATAATAACACCAACCCAAATGTGATTGTCATTTCAAGATGAAATATAGATGGTTAGATCAAATAATGTCAGCAGAAATGGATAACTAGAAAAATGAAAAATAACCACCCTTGTTTCAGTTGTGTTTTTGTAAGCTGCTGAAAGATGGTAAGGGGGTGGATAGCACACTCATCTTCTAATTGTAGAAATTTTATCTTGGATCCTATCTATCTACCTACCTACCTACCTACCTACCTATCTATCTATCTATCTATCTATCTATCTATCTATCTATCTATCTATCTATATAGATATAGATATTTAAAATACTGCATTTTTATGACTTTTGTTAAAGCTACTGAAAATATTAAACAGGCTTCCTTTTCATGAGTTTATATAAGTCTATATTTAGCTAGGCATGGGGCCTGCTTTCTTTAGCCTTGCTAATAAAATCTGATTATCCAACTACTATTTTGATTAACAAAAAATCTTGTGGTGATAAATTTACTCCTACCCCATGGTGTACTGGCAAAATCAGCATTTCATTAAACACCCTGCTTATGATTTAGTTGCACACAGTGATGTTAATTCTGCAGATGTGGTAAAATCTGATCTCCTGAGCTCCTTTATATGAAATGGAAAGTGTTTACATTGTATTTTTATTTTCTGAACATTTTATTTATTTTATTTCTTGGAGCTTACAAATCTCTCTCCAACCTAAAGGATTAGCCCTCTGAATTGTGTGTGGGCAAGAGAAGCTATTAAATTATTTGGTAATGATACAGCAGGCAGTAGTTGTCATAGCTAGTTGTTGCTTTTAACTGTTGACTCTTCCTATTCATAGGCTACATAAGCTAAGAGTAAGCAAAGGCTCTTGTTTCAAGCTTGCACAGCACAAAATAGTGAGAAGACCTGTTAGCTTTGCTACATTCAAACTAATTTTTATATAAGTGTGTGTCTGTGTGTGTATAATTTACATTTAGAATAGAACAGAATAACAGAGTTGGAAGGGACCATGGAAGTCTTCTAGTCCCACCCCCTGCTTAGACAGGAAACCCTATTCCATTTTCAGACAAATGGTTGTCCAATCTCTTCTTAAAAACTTCCAGTGTTGGAGCATTCCCAACTTCTGGAGACAAGTTGTTTCATTGTTCTCCAGCACCAGAGATGGAGAATCCACCAATGGGTTAGCTCTGCCTTCCTGCCCATTAGACCAAGTCAGCCAAACTTGCCATGCCTGTCCTTGGGTAAGCCACACCCAGTCTTGACTTGGTCTTCAGCCCAAACGGACGTGACAAGTTTGGCTCCCAATCTAAGGCAGGTAGTAGAGCTTAATTACATTGGTGGATTCTGCTTTCTCTACCCATAATATTTTCAACAGCGCTGGGATCAGCGCTGTGTGAAATAGTCTGTTGGAGGCTCGGGTGGAGGGGTGGTTGGTTTTCTTTTTTCCCAGATCTCTGGGGCTATTGCTGAGGCTTCAGCTCCCTCCAAAGGGAAAACCCTCTTCAGCTGTTCAGTTGTTCCATTGTTCTAACTGTCAGAAAATTTCTTCTTAGTTCTAGGTTGCTTCTCTCCTTGATTAGTTTCCATCCATTGCTTCTTTATAAGCCACATCGTGATTAATTTTAATTCTGTTTTAGAAATTTAAAAAACTGCCTGATTCTACAATAACTATGGATCATGTGCAGTAAAAACAACCAGACAGCACAATAAAACAAACCGGCAAACCTCAACTCCAGATGAAAAAGCAACCATTAAAAGACAATCCAGCATGTAGGCTCTACTACCTACTTTTAACTCAAGGCCTGAGGAAAACCTACGTTTTCACAGCTCTCTTGAACATTACCATGGTGGAGACTATAGATGTATTCTTGGTGGAGATGGTGTTCAGGAGGGCAAGTTCTGGAACAGAGAAGACCAACTTCCTAGGTCCCATCATGTGATAGCTTCTAAAGCAGTGGTTCTCAACCTTTTTAATACCGCGACCCCCAGCCGGTCGTAAGTCAAGGACTACTCAACCGGTTGTAAGTTGAGGACTACTCAGCTGGTACAGCACCGTTTGCAGAATGGGACTTTTGGCGGGCTCAGCAGGGCAGAGACAGCCTGGACAATTCCTATTGGCTTTTGAAAGCCAATAGAATTAGACTCTATTCAAGAGAGTCTTTCTATTGGCTTTCAAAAGCCAATAGAATAAAAGGGAGTAGCACAGCTAAGGAAAAGGGGGGGGAAATGGAGGACTGCGTTGTTTGGCGACCCCCGTGAAATGGTCGTTCGACCCCAAATGGGGTCCCGACCCACAGGTTGAGAACCACTGTTCTAAAGGGATAGGGCCTATATAGCATGGCAACTCTGTCTGATTGTAAAGGCTGGGCAAAAGACATAGAAGACAGGCCTTCCTTTAGATATCCACACAGATGTAATGTGATTAGTGAACCTAGTTTATGCTCAACAGTTTTTGAGAAGGCAGAAGTAGAATTTGAATGGTAGCATACAAGCTTTTCAGAATCGTAGCATGCTGATTCTTAGAATCAAGATACCTCTATAGTAAAAATTTCTCTCAAATCCATTTAATGTGCATTCAGAATATTTTATCCTTTTATAGTCTTAAAACACTTCATACTTTTTCATCATAACTTAGGATTGCTGCTGTATAACTAATATTACTTTGTCTTATGAGAAAACCATATTTTTAAAAGCTACTTTCTTGTGTTGTATGATGGACACTGTACTCTGTGCCAGTCGTTTGTGGAATTGCTTTCATTTCTGTTGGTTGGTTTAACCTGATAAAATGTGGCTCTGTTTTAAATGCCAGATATGCCAGAAAGGGGGAAATCCATTTGTTATGTCTTAAATATATCTAATTCTTAAATATAAAATTGGCTTTCAAAAGATTGGCTTAGGAATAATAACATAGCAAACATATTTTTAGAGATAACTGCCTGTGGGCCACACATTACTGTGAAATTTACCTGGGGCTGCAGCATGTGTTGATTCATCAATTAAAGTCTGCAATCCCAAGTTTTATACACTGCAGCAAATTTGAAAAGTGACATAAACACAAAGATGCTGGAGTGCACCATAAATATTAATTATATTTCCAATGCAGCATCAGACCTTTTTTTTAGAGGAAGAGCTAAATTTGAAAGAGATTAAGTGACCTGTTCAAGGTTAGATGGCATACCGTGTGCAAATTCAACTGTAATTAGATAGAATCCATGGAATTACTTACCCCAAAAAGGCTCGTAAGAGATGGTTGCCTGTATTTGAATAAAAACTAGGGACGTGTCGTTTTACAGCACAGGGAGAATTGATTTGTCTACTTACACCCCAGTTCGGAAAGGGTTACCCTGAAATGCCTCTAGCAGTCTGGAGAAAGTGTGACTCATTCAAGGAAAGAGGAATGCAAGCTACTTAACCGTTCTTATTGTCAGGCTTTTCTCCAGTACAGTAGAGGGAGAATCCACCAATGGGTTTTCTCTATCTGCCTGCTCTTGAGACCAAGTAGCCAAATTTGACATGCCCCCTCTTGCCCGGGGCTCCATTCTTAACGAGGGCGAAGTGGCTTAAGGTTGACGGAGATATTGGCTCTCAGTTCCCTAATAACGGCCTAACTGACCTTAGGGTGGGTGTGGATTCTCCATCTCCGTACTGAGAAAAGGCGTTCAGGTAAGACCAACGCCCCTTCACCCCAAATGGTTAAAGAGTTTCTGTCAATGGCCAAGATGCTTGAGCACAAAACATCCCATGGACTGTAAAAATGCAGGAGTGTTTCTCTCTCTCTCTCTCTCTCTCTCTCTCTCTCTCTCTCTCTCTCTCTCTCTCTCTCTGTGTGTGTGTGTGTGTGTGTGTGTGTGTGTGTGTGTGTGTGTGATGGGAATGTGGAGGAAGGGGAAGCAACTTTGGGTTCTTGTGCATTGGCTTCTTCTAGGCAGCCGTTTCTGCAGTGTGTATCTGCGTGAAACCTGAAGGAAGGGACTGGAGCAATTGCTGCTGTCCCTACTGCCAATTCATCAGCTTCCACTGCAGGAGCGATAAGAACTGGAAGCTATCCTGATGAATCCAAAAGGTCAGTATTACCAATAAATCACCCACAGGAAGGCATTTGAGAAATGTTTTCAGCCACATCTTGATGTGTGTGTTTTTCTTAAAATTCTGTGATTTTAATCTGTATTTTAAAAGCATTCCAGTGTTTGAGGGGCTGCCACAAAGAGGAGGGGGTCAACTTATTTTCCAAAGCAGCAGAAGACAAGAAACAGTGGGTGGAAACTAATCGAGGAGAGAAGCAACCTGGAATTAAGGAAAAACTTCCCAACAGTGAGAAAATTAACCAGTGGAACGGCTTGCCTTCAGAAGTTGTGGGTGCTCCATCACTGGAGGGTTTTAAGAAGAGACTGGACAGCCACTTGTCTGAAATGCTATAGAGTCTCCTGCTTGAGCAGGGGGCTGGACTAAAAGACCTCCAAGATCCCTTCCAGTTTTATTCTGATTGAGCATTGATTGATCACTAGGAGATCGCCTACCTATCTCAGTGGGGAGAAAACATTCCAAATTCTGTTTTAGCCAGTGTTTTTGTAACAAAAATGCAGTTCACGGTATTTAGAATAAAGCCTTTTCATAAGCACCCATTGCTTTTTAATATATAAATGAGCGAAGGAGATAATTCAAAACAAACCACTCAAATATCACAGTGAAAAACCTTCAGATCCTTTACTTAATTATTTTTAATAAATTAATGTTTACATTTAATTGTTGTTGTTAATTGCGAAGTCGTGTCCGACCCATCGCGACCCCATGGACAACATTCCTCCAGGTCTTCCTGTCCTCTACCATCTTCTGGAGTCCATTTAAGTTCACACCTACTGCTTCAGTGACTCCATCCAGCCATCTCATTCTCTGTCGTCCCTTCTTCTATTGCCCTCAATCTTTCCCAGCATTAGGCCCTTCTCTAGTGAGTCCTTCCTTCTCATTAGGTGGCCAAAGTATTTGAGTTTCAACTTCAGGATCTGGCCTTCTAAAGAGCAGTCGGGGTTGATCTCTTCTAGGACTGACCGGTTTGAACGCCTTGCAGTCTAAGGGACTCGCAGGAGTCTTCTCCAGCACCATAGTTCAAAGGCCTCAATTCTTTGGCGCTCAGCCTTTCTTATGGTCCAACTTTCACAGCCATACATTGCAACTGGGAAAACCATGGCCTGGACTATACACACTTTTGTTGGCAGGGTGATGTCTTTACATTTAATAAATGTTATTAGATATTCTGCAACCTGATTCTTAAACATAATTTAAGGTTTGGAATGGAACTCAAATGAATTATTAGGAATGTAATTGTAGCAAATTATGAGCATGAGGTGGATGGTTCTAGGTTCTCCTATTTCAGTTGCACACAAATATATAAAAAGTTATGTGAATTCCACCTACTTGATGCGCCTGATGGGCTACAGAGAATGGAAATGGAAACCTGGGTGCTGTTGTTTTTTTCTGCTTGGACTAACCACCTAGGTTGTTTTGAGAAACAGTTTGCCATGATTGTACCAGCATGAAGTAGCGGTTCTTTCCAATTGTGATTGATATTAAAAATACCCTCTTTCTCTTTAGCCAGTGAAGTTTAAATATCTCTGCTCCCACTGTGTCACTTATGTACGGAATTGTTATTTTAGTATACATATATACATACACTTATAAAAAGTATTACCCAAGAATATAGATAAGTTTTTATTGGTGAAAAGGTGTAGCTATTTGGTTATGCTTTTTCTGCCCAGAATACACAGCATTTGTCTAAATGGCGTCCTTCATTCCCCTAACTCAGTGGTTCTCAACCTGTGGGTCGGGACCCCATTTGGGGTCGAACGACCATTTCATGGGGGTCGCCAAACAAGGCTGTCCACCATTTTTTTCCCCTTTTCTTTGGCCACGTCCCTGGCACCTGGTGATGTATAAGTGGTTGGGGGTCACCACAACATAGGGAAGTGTATTATGGGGTCGCGGCATTAGAAAGATTGAGAACCACTGCCCTAACTGCATTACTGATCCGACGTAAGCAATGGCAGAATCTGTTCTTGTAGCTACTGGTGGTTGGTTTAGTGTTTTTGTATCCCTGGGTTGTAGTAACAAAGGTGGAAGTGGAATTTTTTGTCCTTTTACGGGGGGCTGCTGCAAACTTCAAGCGATTCTCAGTGTTGATTTAAATAAAAGTGTTAAAGCCTTTACAGTTTTTTAAGGGATTCCTGTGTTGTATGTCCTGTGTTGCAATATCCAAAGATCACATGATCTTCTGATGATATTGCAAGAGTAAGATCAGTGTGGTTTGTCTTGCAGTGTGTGCCAGGGTTGCCTTTTGCATATTATATCAGTCACTGCTACATCTCTGTAGAGGCTTTAAGTAGAGTGCGAGGAGAAAAGGAACTGGGTTTTTAAACATTCTGCCAACAGTAGCTCCTGCTGGCATAAAGGAAAGATAATTTCCATTGATTTCTTCTTTCCTTTACAGCTCTAAGTGACACTTGCCCTCTTATTCCAGAGTATATATCAAAAGCCAAAAGCTGATTTTGTGGGGAGGTAGAAGGGACTCCAGGAGAGGGAGGTGTGAATTAATAAAAACTGCATTTTTTCTTTTCTGTACTAGGGTTCCTACCTTAGAGCTGACATTTTATCTAAATAGAAATCCTTCTGTTCTTGAAAGGCCAAATTAGGATCCAGCCCATTAAATCTGTAATACTATTGTGCTTGTAGCTATATAATACGAATTCCTGTTGACATTCATTTTCTTTCGTTAGCTAGCAAGCCAGGTTACTTTTTACAAAATGGAAGCTGAGAGAGATGTACCAAGTAAAGGATATAAAGTGTATCTACAGCGTAGAGATAACGGTGATGCTTTTGGGAGGTTGGATTAGAAGGAACCTTCCCACTCTTTTATTCTCTTACGTAGTTGTTGTGGTATTTGAACAGGGATCTATAATATAAAAACCTACTCAAGGTTAAAGGTACTTTCTGTGGTGAAAGTATAGAATATTTTTATCCTTAAAAGCCATAACGTAGTCTTATTTAAACTTGCACACAATTAATTTTGATCCTTACGATGGGGTGTGGTTCATATATCACACAGTGTTGTGAAAATATTTCTGTTAGATTTGCTAATATGTGAAGTAATGGCTTACGTGACCAATGCGTAATTAAGAGCTTGTAACCGTATACGGTAAATCCGATGCCCTTTGTTCTTAGGTAATTGAAATTTTTAAGTAGAAGTTGCTTGGTACTTCATTTCTTATTATTTGGTTTCACTTCTTTAATGATTCTTTAATGATTTATATCAGTGGTTCTTAACCTTTTTGAACGAATCGCCCCCTTGAGCCAATGAGGAAGTTGTCATCGCCCCCCTCCCCCAACATAACTTCTCAATCACAACATGGGAAATAATTCTTCAATTTATGCAAACCCTTTTTTTGTTTTCTTTAAAATTGTTCATCAGGACATATCAATGCAAATAATTTATTTCCAGTCTTTTCCCCATATCTCCCATAATCTGGCTAATGGCGTGCCACTGTATGGGTAGAGGCTGCTGCACAACACGCATGAAGATAAGCAATGCGTATTTACATATGTACGGCGTTCTGTACTGAAGCTAGCTGGAGGAACATTTGGAAACACAATTCAATCCACTAATAGCGAGCGATCTGATGTTTTTGTACGACAGATATACAGCCATTCACTGTATGAAAAAATCTCAAAAGTGCCCCCCCAAACTTCTCGCTCCATCGCCCCCATATCGCCCCCTTTTCATTCCTTCGCCCCCCACGTTGCCCCTTTCGTTCCATCGCCCCCCTGAAAAATGAAATTGCCCCCTGGGGGGCAATATCGCCCAGGTTAAGAACCACTGATTTATATCATAGGCAGCTCTCACCAGCTAGAAAGGAAAGAGCTCCTAAGACAAACCTGTGGGACAGATAAGATCAGACATGTTAAGCAATTCAGGGAAAGGCGTATACAGATTGAGACATGGGAAAAGAGCAGAAAGGGATTCCAAGTAAAGGAGAGGCTGTGACCTGAACTCCAGGGAGGTGGGAGGGAGAAAGGTAGCCACATATTACAGCTAAGGACAAAAGTTTGGTTTTCAAATAATAGAAGTCTGATGGGTCAGAATTATTGAAATCATTTCTCTTTTTATTTGCTCAGGAATACTACGTATTTTCTATAATTACTTAAATGCATATGAAAGTGTCTGCATTATTTAAATTCAGTGCCTAAAGTTATGCAGTTCTTGGGCCTTTTATACCATAGCAATTATTTGCATGCAGACAACGGGCCTGAAACCTTTCTGCTTTCATTATTTTTATGCCATCACCCAGCTGGCTTTCAGGGCTAAGGCAGAACTAGAACACTAGAACTCCCGGTCTCCCTGTTTTCAGCCTTTTATTTGCACAAAAGGACAGCGAATACCTTGGTTTGAAAAATCTATGAGAACAGCTTTTAAAGTGATGCTTGTTTATGCCAGTGGGATAATGCTATAAAGCTTATTTAGGTCAAAAATATCAAATGCAGTATTTAAATACAGTTTGTCTAAGTAAACAGGCTGTCACTCTTCCTGAGTAGTACTTCTAAGATGTAAAAGAAAAGAAGCAATATTAGCCTTTTTTTTAAATAGGTGAGCTGAAACTATTCCAAGGGCTATTTTTTGCTAAATAGTTACCTATGGCAGGCAAGTCAACTATACAATATTATTTATAAATAATATTTTGCAATATATCTTTTGACCTTTATATGCTGTCCAGATTTGTTGACCTTAATTTTCTTCTTTTTAGTGTTAATTTCCACTAAATATGTTCCCTCGTGCTTCTGACCTCTATGTTTATCTGTGATTGCTTGGATGCTGAAATATTATTTGCCCTTTGCTTTGTCAGTGTTAGGTCCTGATCCATGCAGAAATAATGACTTTTCCTTATTCAACTGCTTGAAGTAGTGTTACATTTCCTTTTTCTTCATAAAATATTGTATTCAGCGGGCGTTTGGCTTGAATACGTCAAACTTTATCCATGTCTGACGATCACATCTTAGATACTTAACACTCCAAATATC